TTTAGGAAATGAAAGTCCGGTTCGAACTCGAGTAGATTTCTTGTTTTATGTTTTTTTTGCAGTTTTTTTGCTTTACATTTACCTAGATTGTTCCAATCACTTTGGCATATTTTTTTTCTGAAAATTTGGACAATTTCCAACAAAAAAGTTGCTGGGCACTTTTACTTTTGAATCATTCTACTTTAATCCAGGAATTATTTTAATATTTGTGATTTTTCATGAATTTCAAAAAAACCCTAAAATGGCCAACTTCGGGCCCCTGAAAAAGAGTGATAGATGGTCCCAAAAATTCTAATAAAATTTGGGGACATTTCTGACATCGGGAACAGCAAGTTTTTCATATTTGCAGAAAAAAAAATTTTTTGGCCATTCGATTTCACAGAGAATCGGCCATGTATATACGCAAGCGAAAGTGAAGAGCGAAAATAAGGAGACGATGCGAGCCGAGAGGAGCGAAGAGGGAACGGAGCAGCGTGCGATAGTCGATCAGGCGTTTGCGCGCGATTCCTTCCTTTCGATATATATAGGTAGAGGTACCTGTGCGCGCTCGTGCAGACTCGCGATGACGTTTATTACACCGTATACGTACACCAGCCCCCTCCCATCCAAAACTCGTTAACTACTCGAGAAAATTGGAAATGAAGCCGAGAGAGAGAGGCCATAAATATTACATTCAATAGCGTTTTTCCTTTTGGCTGTGGTGTAGTGGTGGTGGTGCTGCTGCTGCGAGGGCCCGTGACCCGGGTGATGACGAGCTGCTGCGTACAGCTCATATTTTCAAAAGCAATAAAAAATAGCATTTATTGCCGCGCCGACGATTTATACTTCGATATACGCGATTTCGAAAAAAACTGCGTAATGAATTTTCACCGCGACGGCTCTCCACTATACGATGATCATTTTTGTATGTATACCCTTACACACGCGCGATGAGTCGTTGATGTCAATAAGCGAATCGTGAAAAAGTAATTGGACCATGAGTTGCAGGAATAAAAATCGACTCCGCTCTCAAATCGATCAAAAAAAAGTACAGCCTAAATTGAATCTAATTGTTTTGGAATAAAAGCCCAGAGAAAGAGAACTCGTATAAAATAGATCCACTCGATGATCGACCGCAGGTGCTGCGCCCAAAGTACAGTCGATTAGTAAATGACCGAGGGCAGGTGATATTTTTGTGGCTGCCTATATGTGTGTTATATATATGCGAGTGCCGTTGAACCTTTGCTGCAGTGTCGTGCGCGTTGACACACTCGAATGCAAGGCGCGAGTCTCTGATTGTATATATTTCTCCACAAATGAGCTATTCTACGAGAGGATGTGGTCGATGTAAAAATTTAAATATCGCGTCGGTAAAACACACCCTACGTGTCGTGCCTTGTTACTGCAAACCACAACGATTCGTTATAAAAGTTAAGGGTCTCAATCAAAATACGACATTTTAATAAGAAAAGGTGATATTCATTAACTGCTTCCGATATACTATTGTGAGCTACTTATGGAATTAAAAAGTATTTACGTTCGCTTAAAAAAGTCTATGATAATAAAGTATTGGGTCGCTAATAATTCTGGCGATCGATTTACATCACCTGCAGCTTTTCCTGGATCGATCATAGGGCCGCAGAATTATCGTGGGTCACACTTGTTTACGTGCATGGATGTACATGTATTTTTCTTCGCATCCATACGCATATATATATCGCACAGACACACACAGACAAACGTACGTACATTTACACATGCACACGCGTCGTCGTCGTATATATAAAGATCAGGTGAGCCGCAGCCGAAAGGGATTCACCTGCTTCGCTGCCGCTGCTGCAGCTGCGCAGGTGTAAATAGAAATATGCGCGAGTGCTCGAGAACACGCGTGTATTATACACACATGTATAATATATATCTGTATACATCAACGTGCACAAACTCTCACTCTTTCTCTCTTGTATTTTCCTTCTTCGACTCGATAGACCGTGGGTTGTGCGTCAAGGCGCCACTCGAGTTTTGTCTTTTCAGCGCTTTTGGATGTTCGAGTACGTTTTCCTCCTCGTCGTTATAGATGTTACGAAATTTTTTTCAAGAAAAAATTGTTTACAATTGATGATACCTAATCTATTAAATATTTGTACTGTTCATCTTTGTTATTAATGAAAAATTAAGTACTTTACAATCGCCATTGTAACCGTGTCGAACGAGAAATCTTACTTGGCTTTGTGAAATTGCCACAAACCGTTGCCAACCGGGGGACATCCCGTGTGTTCGGGCCGAATGCAAAAAACAAGAATCTCGGCATGGCAGTAGCTATATATACACACACAACACACAGTGCAGCAGCAGCAGCAGCAACGCTAAACACACACGACTGACCCGAAAAAAGACTACAACGTACTTTCTTACTGCTTCATTACATCGCGACTGCATGTGTTATTCTAAAGCGAGGGACCATTTCTCGTGCCTTTAGCAATTACGGTATCGAAATCTCTTTAATTGCCGTTTGTTTTATCAATTGCAATAGGTTAATTCGAGCTTGAGTAGCATTTCAGCTGATTTCTCACGAGTTATAGGAGTATACTTTGCTTTAAAGTTTTTTTTTACTTCAAAAGTTCATTTTACTTCTTCGATATCAAGTTGAATGAGAAATCAATGAAAAATAAAATACATTTTTTTAGGATAATCTTTAAGCCACTCGAAAAATTCCCTGATTTTTTAATGCTTTGATTCTTTGAGACTAAAAAAATAAATGTCTATCGAATGAGCTACTTGACTTGCAACCTACTACACGTGTTTCAAGGTACACGATACTGAAAAATCTTCCAAAAAGTTCAGTTCCCACAGTCTCTCTCTCTCTCTCTCGGATCGAAAAAAATAAAGAAGAAAAAACTGACTGCACACGATTATAAGAGACGGTATTGAACATGCCCTCAACGAAGCAACAACACGCGTCGATAAGTTCCTGCGCGCTGTGTTCCATGTGCTCGCCGTTAATTAACGTTCCAATAAAAAAAAAACCCCCGTCGGTACGTTGTGTTCATTAAAGACATAACTCATAACATAAGTAAAATTTAAACGAAAATATAAATCAACGAGGTCGAAAAATACGCGACCAAAAAAAACTCTCTGGTGTTAAGAAGACTTATTACACGATGCACGGGTATACGAGCACGATGCACTCGACGATTAATTCCGTTGCGAGTATTTTAATCATTGCTCTCTCGCTAAATGACAAAATAGAAGCCGATCGATCGATTGAGTTGTATGGATGATTTCAATTTTGCAGTCTATAGCCAGGTCTGTGGCGGACATTTTAAAGCTTGTTTTCAACCAATGAAAAAGTTTCTTTGACATAGAATATCCATTAAAACTGCGTAAATACTAATCGAAAGTATTTTTTTAGGCGGAAAGTTATGCGCTGGGAAACAGTAGTGGCGTCCTAGATAACTTTTATTAACTTTTGACTTATACAATTATTTTCACTTATACAATTATTTTGACTTTGCCACTTGCAGATTTACAGATCAAGTGTTCGCCATCTAGTGGTGGATGATGAAAGTGATTGGTTGATCCAAATCTCCTCGATGATCAAGGTGGATGATCAAACCAAATTCATTGAAAAAATTTAATTCATTCAAAATAATAATCAGGTTTTTGAAATGCGCATGATATTTGTAACATATTTGAAACAAAAAAATCACAAAAGAAAGCCAATTAATGGTATTTTGAGTGGTCATTTTTTGGTCATTGGGCCATTACTATGTTGAGCTTTTTTACCAGAGGTAAGCATTAATGAATACAAAACACGAATTTTTCCTTTAATTTTTCTTAATTTGACGAGCAATACCTTGTGATCGCAGTAAAAGTAATCATAATTCGGAATCAAACCAAAAAACACTTCAATCACAATGAGGCAGTGAATTCGTTACAACATTTATAGAGCAACAGCAATGATAAAATTTTTCACATCGTCGAATCAGATTCTATTAATAAATGCGACGTTAAATTGACTCGGCACATACATCACCTGCGCACTTGAAAACCCGGCGCGTAGTACCTCTCGCTCGTTTCGTACATCTCCAAGGGCGAACGATGAAAAGTCAATGGAGCAAAAAAAAAACACAAGCAGCGGATACCTTTAAAAAAGTCGGATACTCCCATCCAATTATAAGAATTTTAACCGGGCTCTCTTTCTCTCCTCGAAAAAAAAAGAAGGAAGAAATGAATCGAGGAAAGATGAGTCCTAATCCATCAAGGACACGCGTCGTACATCAGCATATAATGTATAATGTATACGCGGGGAGTTTTTTTTCTTTTTCATCGCAACATCGCGTTAAGTAATGTATATAATAACAGCGAAGGATGTATAATAAGAAACGGCGGCGGCGGCGGTGGACGAAACGTCGCCACTTCTGTGCGCGCCGTGGATGATCAGGTGCAACGTATAGATTTTGTGTTCAGCTGCTGCTCCGTCTCTCTCTCTCTCTCTCTCTCTCTCTCTCTCTCTCTCTCTCTCTGTCGGGGTACTTATGTACGCGTTCGCCTCACGACGCACGACGAACGAAGAAAAGTAATGGTTACGCGTGTATGTGTAAGTGCGCGTGTGTGTGGATAACGGCGCGGGGTATGCACTGTGCCGAGGAAGGCACCTGCCCTTCATTTATACCGTATATATATCTTTCTCGAGCTTTTCTCGTCTATATGGCTCGCACGAGCTGCGCGAGAGGGGTGTTGAGTAAACACACCGCGACGACGCGTCCTCCTTATTTATACGAACCCCGTGTTGTTGTGCGGCGTTGGCTTTCGTCGAGTTTTACAAATATTTTTATTGTTCGCCGTTTAAGCCGTCGTCGTATATTACGAAAATAATTTTGTTGCGTTTGACAATAAAATGACGTACGTTATCGTTGTTAAATATGTCATTTATTTAATTGCTCACGAATTTCCACGAGCTCGCAAGACATTAGTTTTTTTTTGCACTGTGATATTGTTCTTTCGATATTAAGTAGAGAAAAATGTATCTATTCGCAATCGGCTGTATATTATTGGGTAACATTTTAAACAACCGAAAAATTCCATTAAAAATATCTCATTCGATTTAAATTTTTTATGTTCGTGCTCGCCAAAGTCCAAACCATTCGATACTCCGAGTGTTCTCCAGCGCGAAAAGAAAGACTCTTCGGTATCGACGTGATCCCGGCCAAAGCCGACGAATTTCCATTCGTGGTGTCGATCGGTCAGGTGCAGCACAAGCGTCAGTACGGCCACTTTTGCACGGGCTCGCTGATCACGAAGGAGCACGTCCTCACCTCGGCCCACTGTCTCATCAACGAGACACCGAGAAATCTTCGGGTGAGCGTCGGCATCGATCTGGAGGAGAGCCCAACGTATCCGGTGCTCTCTTGGATCACCTACGACCAGTGGGCTTACAAGTCGGGTCGACGCTCGAGCTTCAAGGATAACGATATCGCCGTCGTAACGGTAAGAAATATAACTTTTTCTTTGAAATCATCTTCCCTCGCTGACTGTGCTCCTTTTTTTTTTTTTGTTTTTAATACAGTTGGTCGAACCGGTGGAAAATGCCGAGCCAGCGAACATCTCCTTTGCCCACTACGATCGGTCGAAAAAGGTAAAGGCCGCCGGCTGGGGAAAAGCCAACGAGCGGGTGGTGCCGCGCTACCTGCAGAGCCTCGAGCTGCGAATCGTCGGCAGGGAGGAATGCGAGTCGAGCATGTCGGTCATCACGAACGAGTCCATGGAGCTGGCCGACAACGTCATTTGCGCCAAGGGCAGCTCCAATTCCGTCATACAATGCGTGAGTCATAGATATATGAGATTTCGCGATACGATTCGAAAATGTGTTTCGATCTCTGTACGAATTATTTTAATTATAACAGGGAGACAGCGGCGGACCGCTCATGGACGAGGACAAGAGCATCATCGGAGTGACCGATTCGTTCTTGGCCTGCGACACGCACCTGCTGCATCCCGACTCGACCAACATGTTCATGGACGTGAAGTTTTACAAAAATTTCATCGACTCGGTGACGCGTAGCGCGCGCAAACGCAGCAAATTATGAACACGTTCTCAAAAATATATTCATTTTACGCAATTCTATCCAGCAAATGTTTTCGTGGTACCGAAATTATCCGCGCGCCCGTCGTTCTGTACAATCAACTTTATTTCTCACTGTACTCGAATTATTTAATTATTAATGAAATTCTAACCGCGTTTCGTCATAATAACAGACTAATTGAAGCGCCCTAGCCACACTCGACTACCATATAGCAGGACATAAAAATCTTCGCGGCTAACTGTCCAGCAGACCGTGAAATCCGCGGAGCACCGCCTACTCCCATAGAGTTTAATGAATATAATTCCTTACACACGCTTTGGCAGTACCAAATGGAATTTACAAGATTTTTGCAGACGATAAAGCTCGATATTTTCTCAAAATGTTGTGCCTCCCTCCCTCTTTATTTTGCATTGGCGTAAGCGACGCCGAGAGCGGCGTGTACAATTATCTCATTAAAAAAAAAAAAAGAAAAAAAAACTCGTGCTCTATATAAAGCCTTTTCGCGCTCGCAACTTCCTCTTGCAGTAACTCAAAATGATTTAGGCTGTCTATATAAATGTGCATATTTACCGACTCGCGCGCATTAAAATAGTTTACTTATGCCTTCTCTCGTAAACATTGTAGCGTAGCGTGCGTATATATTTATTATTTCTCTCGAGCGTCAGTAGGTCGGTCTTAGTGGCCGATTATCACCCAACTTAAAGACCATAATAATATGAATAATAATGTTTAAAAATAAAATACTTAATAACGAAATATATTTAATTTAAATTGCGTGCATGTAAGTGGGTATACGCGCATACGCATGCAGAACTCGAGCGACTTCTTTTACGCGTACACCTGCGCGCGTAATTGCCCCCAAAAATGAATATAAATGCAATGTATAAAGTTTGATGATTACGAAGCTTTTAAACTTAAATTTAAAGTCGAAATCGAGTCGAATTTCGCTTTTCTAATTGCAGTAGTTTCCTCGAGAAATTTAGCGAGATAGAAGCGAGCGTAAACCTCGAATCATGCTCTTTACTCGGTGTACGCACAGTTGTCACTTATCAACGTGCAGATTTAATCGCAATTTTACATGAAAAAATACTTAATTATTCGAGATATGAAATACGTCGACACGAAGGATTCGACGCGATAGCATCGAAAATCTAAGCCGATCAAACAAGAGCCGCCTTCTAAATAGCTCGGTCTAGTTGCGCATACCACACAGCTGCAGTGCATGACGTATATTACACCGCGCGCAAGTCCAAAAGTTGAGCTGCGCGTACACCGTAAATATATTCGAGTTTTTAGCTCGCGCAAGACACACAAGAGCGACAGAGACAGCAAAGTGCCGAGACAAACGAAACAAAGACACATATCACGCGCGTGAGTCAACATCACACGTGGATTTTTTTGATACGTAAAATGGAATAGTGCAAAAAAAAAAAAATAACAACGTTAACGCGCAACGGGGCGACACATAGAGGGGGAGTGAAAAAGGATCAACGTAAAAAAAAAAGAAATATAAAGGAAGAAAAAGGCGAGTGCTGCGAGCTGGTCTCGTCGTCGTCGTCGTCGTCGGCCGGCCGGGTGGAAAGAAAAAATAAGGCGCGCGCTCAAAGGCAAAATGTCAACGACGAGTCTTGGCAGTCGTAAATAAAGGGCCCAGGCACACACACACACACACACACACACAGGCTATATGGCTTTGCCGCTTTGCTCGGCTTGGTCATATAAGAGAGTCTCTCTCTCTCTCTCTTTCTCTCCGTCTTGGTGCGGACTCTAGGGTCTGCGCTGCGCGTATCTCGCGAGCAGGCCACAATTCTCTATATCTTCTGTCTTTCTTTCCTTCGCTCCGGAGTATAGGTATAGGTATATATATACATAGTAGGGCTATATATGAGCTACGCCGGGTCCGCTCGCGTGGCCGCTATAAATCCGCCAAGAATTATGGCAGCGCCGGGTTTTGTCTTAATGGTCGCTCGTGTAAATTCTACCCCTGTCAAGGAGTTGCGCGCGCGGGCCGAAGCAGCCACAGCAGCAGCCTAGTATATAGCCACCTCGACACTTTTTTTCCCTTCTTTTGCTATATATAGCTAAGCTAGAGCTCGATCCGCGTGTGTAAACCCCGTTTCGCAATTCGCGATTTGCGCGCCCACGAGTATTATACGTATATATCGCGCGTACCTGCATGCATGCATGCATGCATATACCTGCGCCTTGAGAGAGACGTCAAACCTTTTAATTTTACGATCCTCGAGTCGGAAAAAAAAGGACGCTTCTGAATTGCTCGGCACTTGACGCACGCACAGACACGATTATTCGCGCAGCACGAGGAGGAAACGAAAATTTTAGTATCGTGTACGAATCCGAGGCTCGCTTGAAACGCAGATAAATGACGGCTGCTGCTCCAATACGTGTATAATACACGCGGTAATGAGAGTGTACTTGACATTGAGAGGCAATACACGGCGACAGACACCTGCCCTCTTATAAATGCGGCTCGAGGCGATATTCCCGAAAATCGAGCAGTTCGATCTCATCCAGCCCTCTCTGCACAGGATCACGACGATTTCCAATTTTCCGTAGTTAAGGTGAAAATCTACAAAACACGCGTATACGTGCGTCAGTGCGTATATGCATTTTTACCGGGGATCGTTGTAGGCAACGATCGTTTGTGTCGCGAGAGGGACGCGCGATTGAATTAACGGCGGCCAGTAACTTTCACCTCTGTGTCTCTCTCTCTCCCTCTTTCTCGCTCTTTCTCCGCCGTGTCGCCTGCATATACATACATACATACGCGTTTCTCGAAAGCTTGTGCGAACACGACATCGCTTGTTTTATACGTGTATATAATAATAATAATAATAATAATAACGTGTCCGTCCGTCCGTCCGTGGGTACGTGTGTGTGTGCGATACTGTACAACTGCATTATACACGTACGACGACTTTTTTCCCTGTAAATACAACACACACACTCGCACTCTCGTATACTCCGAAGTGCAGTGCACGGCACGCAACGTAGATATACGCGAGGATATTTTGTGCGAGGCCGCGTTGTGCACTGCACACACACACACATACAAACGTATACGTATATAACATAGTAGTATGTAGGAGGCGCGCGCGCGACAAGTGAGAGAATATGGAAGCTACGCGATATCGATTCCTTTCTCTCCACTGCCCGAGCACAGCGCGGCGCACAGCTTTTTCTTTCTTTCTCTTCCTCCTCGTCCTCCTGCGGTGGCTTTTTTTCCTCTACGCTATTTGTTTTTTTTTTTTTGCCTCGCTTTGCTTTTATTATTCTATAATACAAACAGAACGCGGTACTGTACTGTACTACTACTAAACATATTTTCAAGGGTTCTCTCTCCCTGTCTTTCTTTCTTCGTCTAGCCGAGCGCTCCTTTGGGCACAAATATAACGCGAGTAAGCGAGCTTTTTTTTCTTTACGGGATTGACTTTCTGCGCGGGGCGCGCACGCTATGTCGTGAATCAGAGCTGCCGGTGGCGTAAACGTATATACGTATATATATCCCGCAAGTTCGTTATAAAACACAAATGTATGCCGCGCGTCGTATTGTACACGTTTTTAGACTTATTTTCATATAACGCAAAATACATGCCACACGTAGTGGTATATATAAATAAACTAGAGTGCATGCCACATAGCGATTCCCATATTGATTCGGCCTGACCTATGATTCATTCCTTTTTTATTTATTTTTTTTTTTTACGCGAAGCAAAACTGTATACGCTGTGTTATACCGATGTCTAGGATACCGAACGTATACTTTTTTTATATAAACGCAAGCTCCCGTACGCGGCGCGATGCAAAAGCACGCGTCAAATCGATAATCGAATGTTTCGCAAAGCTCGCGCGAGCTCGGCGCAATCGTTGATAATTCAGATTTCTCGTGACGGTGACGGTGGCAAAGCTGTGCGGGTAAAATTGAGCCCGATATTTTCCGGGTGCCGTATACGTATTTTCGCGCTGAAAATTCGGGTTTCAAAAAAAATCAGCTTTCGCGCAGAGAGAAAGAATATAAATTGGGAGATCGAGCGACCAAAAGTGTCGATTAATTAATGCATATAAATTTCACGCCGCGACCGTTTGGATTATGCCGGGATTGATTAAATCTTTTGCGGGAATAAAATACGTATAAGCTCTTCTTTGCCCTTCTCGCCACAAACTACTATTCCCCAATTAAACCGTTGCGAGCGCCTCGTTCCGAGAGGGCCTCGCTCGAGAAAAATGAATTCATTAGAGTAATGCAGAGCTTAAAAAGCCTCTCTCGGCTGTGGGGGCTGGCTCGCGCGCGTGCACACGTGCCACCGAGCGAGAGACACACACATTCCTCGAATTTTTCACAATGCGCGTCGGGGGCTTCGTGTGTCTGGCACGGACGAGTTGGGGTTCGCTCTATGCTTTATAATGCCTCTCTCTCACTCTCGGCCACACGAATATAATACCGCGCCGTCCGAGCGGGGGCCAAAATCGATACCCTCCGACCGTAATAATCCCAAAGGTCTCGAGAGTGCATGTTCGAGGTCTCCTCCAGCGCGCGCGTGTGTGTGTAGCGTATCAACTGGTATCTCGATCGAAGATACACACGGAGTTTTGTGCTACTTTATGGCAGTCGCATTTTTACGTGCGTGCTGCATTGACTTTAATTGGATCTATGGCTAAATTTTCGGAGAATAACGATACGCAATGGAGATACAGGGTACAGAAAATTCAGAACATTTTATTTTCAAGTACATTCGTTTGATCCATAATGTAAAACACCAGGCTTTAAATCGCACTCCAAACACGTGCTCAACAACCCCATTGAGCCAAGCAAATGTAATACAAATCCTTGTTTCAACCGTTGCATTCGCATCACACTCGCATACGCTCGTGCGCTAACCTCACTTCGCGCTACCAGAAGTGCGACTCATGACTCGGAAAAGGGGGCATAAATGTGAACTTTGCACAGTACTATAAAATGTTGTTCGATACTCGGGCCAAAAAGTGTTACTTATGCCACTAGTATCGTAAAGTACTATTATAGCTATGGCGCCAAAGTATAATTCGCGCGCTTGTTCGTGTTTATCCTGTGAATTGCTCTATGCCAAACGACACGTCTGCTTGTTTATATCTCTCATAGTTTCGAGCCTCGTATTTTTCAAATTCTCTCGATCGAGGATTGTCAGTAGACGTTACGACGTCGGAGCGTAAACAACATCGGCTACAGCAAGTAATTAAGCGTGAACAATATCGCTCCGTCCATAAGTGATTGCCATTAGAAGTTATAAAATGTCTATTGACTCTGACGACGACAGAAGTTACGAGTACGATAATTTTGGAAAAGTCAAATCTATACCAAACTGTGGTTCCTGGCACGAGTTATGGCCAACTCGTAGTGAAGAAGACCGGCATTATACGATAAAATGTAAGATAGAGTCAGGCTTGGTAGATCCGAACTCGGTCAACGAGGACGGCGGTCCACTTTGGCACTACATCTGTCGGAGTCTCGGCGACGTCGTTATTTTCTCTGCGTTTCGAACAATATCAGCCGGTGCAAATCGACGCCCGGGACAATTTCGGCCGGACGGCGTTGCACTTGGCCGTTTACAACGATCTCGAGGAGATTACGGAATTTTTACTGGATCGCGACGCAAATCCGAACTTGGCCAACGACAAAGGAGAGACTCCGCTGCACGTCATTTGCCGCATCGACAAGTACGACTCGGATCGCTGGCTATTCGATCAGCCGTACACTGTATACAATCCCCTCTACGTACATCAGAGACAGTGCACCGAACGACAAAGACGTATGATCGAGTTGTTGCTGAGTCTAGGCGCCAATCCGAACGCGCCCGACGCGAACGGATTTACACCTTTGCACGTCGTTTGCCAGAAAAAATGTGACGATGATTACGTAAGGATGTTGAATACGAAAGAAATTCCGAACGTGGCTTTGTACCGCAACCACCAGAGCGTGATCGAATCGATGCTGAGGCGAGGCGCAGATCCGACCGTGGCCAATGCCGAAGGATCGACGCCTCTGCACTTTATTTGCAAAGGATACGGCGACAATTTTCAGTTGGCCGAGACGTTGTTCGAGCGTTGCGACCAAAGGTATCGGCCGTTTCTGCGGGTCGACGCTGGAGACGCCATGGGCGAGACGCCGCTGCACTTGGCCCTGCGCGAATCCAACGATCAGCTGGTCCAGTGGCTGCTGCGGAGAGGAGCCAATAGGACTTTGACCAATTCGAAAGGAGAGACTCCGCTGCACGTCGTTTGCCAGAGACACTTTGAATCTGTCGGCTTGGCGAGGCGGATAATGTTGATCAGGAACGACGACGACGACAGACATCCACGAGTACAGATCGACGCCCGGGATAACTCGAACAATGCAGCGCTGCACTTTGCTGCGAGCCAAGGCCACTCACATTTGGTCGATTTTCTGTTGGCAGAAGGCGGCGCCGATCCGAATCTGGCCAACGATAAAGGAGAGACTCCTCTGCACGTTCTTTGCCAGAAAAAATGCGACGACGCTGACGAAAGGGAAATCACGCTCGAATTACGCCACCACCAAGGAGCGGCTGAATCGTTGCTGAGGCGAGGCGCAGATCCGAGCGTGGCCAATGCCGAAGGATCGACGCCTCTGCACGTGCTTTGCAAAGGACACGGCGACAATCTTCGGTTGGCCGAGACGTTGTTCGAGCTTTGCGACCAAAGGTATCGGCCGTTGCTGCGGGTCGACGCTCGAGACGGTAACGGCGAGACGCCGCTGCACTTGGCCACGAATCGGTCGGGCAACAATCAGTTGGTCGGATTTCTGTCGAGAAGAGGTGCCGATAAGAACGCAGCCAACGATCAAGGAGAGACTCCTCTGCACAATATTTGCCGAAGAGGAGATATCCAAATGCTGCAGATATTCTTCGATGTCAAGCAAGAAGTCAACGAGGTGGTGGCGGTCGATGCCGTGGACAGGACGGGCCGGACACCGCTGCAGTGGGCCGTGGCGAACTTCAGGACCGACCTGATCGACGCGCTCTTGGATCGTGGCGCCGATCTGTCCAGCTTCGTTTTTCCCGACCAGGCTCATTTCTACGAGAGATTTGCCGCGGACGTCGCGTCTAAAATGGAACTAGCCTCTGGCATTATGATGGTGGTGGAACATCTCGAGGACAAAGGATTCGACTTGGAACGAAGCCAAGCCCTGACGATAATGGAACTCTTCGCCGAGTACGGATTGTTCGATAAATCGACGACTATTGAAATATTCTTAAATAACGAGGATTTTGTGTGCCTCGTGAAAGAGGAAATGATAAAACCGAACTTGTCGCTCCACGACCTGATCCAGCTTCGGCCCGAAGAGGCGGCAAAACAGCTCACGTATAAGGATTACTTCGAGCTAGTGCGCTCGAGAGGTTTGGGCAGGATTTTTGCCTTTTACAGAAAGGTTTGCTTCGCGCATCTGCGCGAGAAACTGTCGAAAAAATTTTTCCGGGCGTGGGCCCTGTATCCTTTCCAGAAATTGATACACTATCGTCTGCCAGAAGAGATCTGTAAAATCATTATCGAGACGCTGGCGAACGAAGATTTATATCATATTTGCTTGGCGGCTGAAAGGTTAGACTGATAAGGACTCGAATGGTGAAAGTAATGTAAAAGTGGTAGGATATTCGATTGGCAGCTACATGTCAAAGCTAATGAGCGTATTTGTAGTACTTTTTAATGTCTCCGGTGTTAACGAATGTATGAGTACATTTTTCATGTAATTAAAATCAATAAATTAAAAAAAAATTGAATACTTTGCAACACGAATACTACGATGACACGTCTAAGGATTTATTCTTTTCAATAAATAAATTAAATACTAACATCTTCCACTGCTTGCATTATAAATTATCTACAGTACCTCACAATTTATTGCCATAGATCAATTAGTGTATCGACTTCTGATCACTCATTACCATAAATCAACTAATACACGAATTGTCTCTTTTACCATGACCACTCTTATCATATATCATTAATTTTTTTTTTTTTTTTATTATTAAACAATTATAAAACAAATTAAAATCAAAATATGTAGACTTCTTCTAAGAAATCAATACACAAATAATTATAATCATCACAAATATTATTTTGGTAGATAGAAGGAACGATCGATATTCAATAATCAGTTAAATAAACTTCAAATAAATCCGATCTCTTTCTTACTTCGCGGACTAGTAAATTAAACAATTGACCAATGTCACAGAACGAACAATTTTTCATTAATTTTTTTCTTATACTTTGCCAGCTAGATTCCTACAGTATATATGCCTTTATGGGAGTTCACGATGCAGTCGCACGGATAGACTATATTCCTGCCTAATTCACAAGGTGAAACGTACCCACGCGACTTTTGAACTTTATCAAAAAAGTTAATCAAAAACTGCTGTTGCTGCTGCTGCTGCTGCACTTTCATTAGATCTGGCTGGCTCTCGCTCTCTGCTTGCAACCATAGCCGGATGAGATTGATCCTTCTCTCATAGCTCCCAGGCTGCTCGCGCCGAGTTTTTAAATTATAATTTTGTTTCCACGCGCACGCACGACGCGCTTCGATCGCGCAGCAAATAATATACGTCCTGCATATATACATATACATTTAATACGACGCGACGAGCCAAGATCCTTTTCTCTCTTCCTCCGACGCTCGATTTCCTTCGGGGTTCGAAAGAGAGAGAGCTGCATATCGTGCGTGTGTGTGTGCAGCAGGTCGTTGCATATAGGTCCTTACGCTTGGAGACGACGCACGTATAGCCGAGCGCACGATAATTAGCCAATATCGGCATATTATTATTGTTAATGCTCGAGTGACGGAAAGGGACGGAATCTCGTTAGGGTGGGCGGAGGAATCGATCTTCTCTCTATCCCCCGAGACAGACGCGTCTCTTTTCGCATCAATCTCATGCGGCTTGGTGCATATAACGCAGATTAATCTTTCTCTCCTTTTCCTCATATACTCCGTTCTGTCGATCTATCCTGGGCTTTTTTTCATATTTGGCCAATAATTACAGGGCCGTGCGCGACTCTGATATTGCACACGCAGGTAGACATACACACACACACACACACACACACACACACACACACACACGCGAGAGTAAGAGAGAGTTTAATGTGGCTTTCGCACGATTCTAATATTTCCCGTATATAAATTATGCCGGCAATTAAAAGGAGGAAAAAGAGGAGGAGCCCTCGTATCGATGAATGGAAAGAGAGAGAAGAGAGAGAGAGAGAGAGAGAAAAAAAAGGCAACCGTATAACGTCGCGTCGCACTCGTTTCTATGAAGAGAAGAGACGACGAGAGAAGAGAAGGAAGAAGATGCAGCGGGCCCGCGTTGCCGCCGCCGTCGCCGCCGCTTTAACGTGTTGTTTTTATATATAGCCAACTATTATACGAGGCCGCGCAGCGTCGCTCATATGCACCTCGCTCTCGCTCGCTCGCTCGGCTTGTAAAGAGCTCCTCTCGCAGAATCGATTAATACTCGCGCGCGCACGGCGCACATGATGAGATTCAACTCTCCGAAAAGTTATTGGTTTATATAAAAATATATATAAGGACGGGTTGTAATATTATTGGGTGGCATAGCACGCGCGAGAAGACCTTTATACGCACGACACTCGCGCCGATTGCGTACACACACACACGACTTTTTCGGCTAAAACGAATTTTTTGATTGGAAATTTTTTTTTTTTTCGTCCTTTCGTGCGGGCAGCAGCAGCAGCAGCACTGCTCTTTATAAGGCCCTCTTAACGATGAATTAATACAAATCATTACGAGAGTATACATCGAAGACTGTCCTGCGCGAGGTTCGAAAACTTAATTAAAAAATAAGGCGATCGTGCGTGTGCTGTGCTCTTGCTCGTACATCTTGTACACAACTATTGACGAAGAAAATCAATCTACCGAGAGAGTCCAGTTTCGAGGGCCGAAGAAAAAAAAGGTTAATTTATTTTCTCGTTCGCGAGGTATACGCAATTAATACCGAGCAAGTGCTTTGAATAAATTTACCCGAGATTTCGAAAAAGTACCCCAAAATTCGTATACTACCGAAGACACATTTGTCATTAGTTACGGTCGTAAAATTGCACGTATTTCGCGATTTCGTAAGAACTCGATTAGCATAATAAGAGGGAAAAAAATATACGTACAAGTATACGAGCAGCAGAAAAAAAGGATCGGAGTTTTATTTCGTACACGTTATTCGCTGGTTTTTGCGAAAATAAAACAATAAGAATAATAGGGCCCCGCGCGCGCGGCTGTATGTATATAATGCGGCCTCGGTGCTGCATCGCATTAAGAGAAATACAAACTTTCGCTTGACAGTAGTGGCTGTGCAGTGCACAGGACACGGCGGTGCACGCGAGAGAGCGAGCCAGACGGCGTGGCGTGTATAATACCCTTTCTCTCTCTCTCTCTCTCTCTCTCTCGTCCTCTCTGCCTCGCGTCTCTTCTTGGCAAAGGAGAAGTTTGCGCTAACCAGCCTCTCTCTCTCTCTTGCTGTTTCCCTCCTTCTACCTATATATGTATATATCGCAGGCTCGAGAGAGCTTTGTACACCAGCACACAAAAAGTTACAACAGCAGCAGCAGCAGCAGCAGCGGATCGGTAGTGCTGCAGCAGTTGTGTGCATCTCTCTCTCTCTCTCTCTCTCTCTCTCTCTCTTTACAGCAATATCTGCGCGATACAGCCTCGGGAGAGATTAAAAAGTTAATGGGGGGGCGTTCTGCAGGGGGGCGTTCTCCTCTCTTTCTCGCTCGCTCGCTCGCTGCAGCGATTTATGGGCGCTCCGGCCCAATACGGCGATCGGTATATATACGTATGTACGATTCTCGCGCCACAGAGAGAGAGAGAGAGCCACGGACAAAAGGTATGAAAAATGTCTATACGTGTGTACGTACGTGCGCATATGCACGTACGTATATAATATATAAAGAGAAAAACAGAGAGGTCAGATCGTAGCTCTGCTCTCGGTGTAGCTCTCTGCTGCGCTGCGAGCTTGCTTATAGGCCGCAGCCAAGGGGGTGGTAGGCCGTGCACAACCGCACGTGTATATAGTATACACGCGCATGTATAAGTGCCTTTATTAAACGAGTCAAAGTGAGAAAGAGCTTGTACACTACTACTAAGCCAGCCTGCAGTCGAGATAACGAGGAACTGCTCGCGCGCGCGCGCCAACGGACAGCTCAAGTGTGATATTCTTTTTCCCGCCTTCTCTCCTTCATGCGCTGCGAGCTCCGTAGAGAGAGAGAGAGAGCTGGCGCGAATTTGCTAACGGATTTGCGCCCTCGTCGACGTAAATTAACGACTCGCCAAGGGCGTATCGACACTCCGGCCGCGATCTACCTTTCTCCGCCCTCCCCGCGCGCACGAGCAACCTCTGTGGACGATCATCTCTGCGCGCAATATACTCCATAGTTATATTCCTGTGCGATGCTCGAACACGTGTATAAATATGCTTACACGTATCGTATATATGCAATTATCTATTATGTGTCGATGATGATAGGGGGGGAGAGATGCAGAAAAATCTTGAGCTTCGAACGAAACATTTTCTTCCCTAAAAAGTATGTTGACTTTTTTCGAGAGTTACGCCGAGAGACAAGTTTGCTTTGAGTCATGATCAAGAATTCATGATTTGGAAATGATTACTTTGATAGAATAGTAGGAAAATTTTACCAAGGATGGCATAATGAGCTGGATCTCATTGACCATGCGTCAAAGTATTCTTTCATCGTTGTACCACACATATGATGATTTTCAATACCTTGCTGTAAAATTGAACGCTAAATCTTTTCTTTTGGTACTTGTGAAAGATCTTAATCTACTTAGTCTTTCTTTCATATTGAAATTAGAGAAAAATGTTACACATACATTGAATTATAATCAATAGGTCTATAAAGTGTTTGAGATGGAAATTTTCAACATATTTATAGGCCATTCCATGTCAAACATGGCTGTCAAAAAAATTTCATCTAGATTGAGTACGTACTTTCAAAGAGTACATTAAGAAGTACAGAATCTGACAGCATTCCTTTGGATGCTAGTAAATTGTGGTTTTAGACAGTATGATGAAATCAATTTGATGGAAAATTTTAGTATAGAAAACATTTTTCAATATTATCTTATTCGATGAACACAAAAAACTCAGTTTTTTTACTTTCATCAAAACTTCTGATAAATTAAGCGGTTCCAGGTTGTGAATTTGAATTTTGATAACAAATGTAAACTACTTGTCAAATTTTACATTTAAAATTATTGTTTTAACATTTTTCCACTGTCATCTCAAAAAACCATAATGCCACTTAAACATAAAAATCCAACTTTGAGTCGAATCTACCCATACTGCTTAAATTTGACAATTTTCAATTGTGATGTACTCTACAAGAGTAAACACTTAGAATTCACAGTTGACACAATATAATCTTTATACATTCTTAGATTCAAGAATAATTCAAGTTAAGCTTTTAACTGCAAAATACTGAATTAATATTTTTACTTGGTCAGTGATTTTTATTTTATTAGTTTTTAGAAAATTTTTTATTTGCAAAATAAAGCAATTATCATTTGGCACATCCAAAGTTTAAAAAAGATTTACATAAGTCACATGGATCATGTTTTAAATTTTTATATAAATTAATGCTTATTGAACCATATCTAATAGAGCAATTGAATGTTAATTTGCACAAGCGACACTCATAAAATCCAATACCATTGTGGTTAAGATAGATATGTTTTTGCACATGATAATGAGATTTATAATTTATTTTACACTGGTAACACTCAAAGCGCTTATATGTACAGTTTTCAATAACTGGCTTTTCACAATGAGCTTTCAATTCGCCAGTATCCTCAATTTTGACAACAATTTTTGATTCTGTTTGTCCACATACACCAACTCCAATATTCTCATCAATTAAGTTTTTAACTTCTTCAGATGTTTGCCCAGACTCAGAATTATCAACACTTACACTGTCTTGAATATTCTCATTTGTAAATTTCTTGACTACTTCTTGAAATGTTCTCTCTGGCACAGAATTATCAACAATTACACTATCATGAATATTCTCATTTATAAATGTTTTGACTTCTTCTTGAGACGTTTTCTCTGGCTCAAAATTATCAACACTTACACTATCTTGAATATTCTCATTTGTTAATGTTTTGACTTCTTCTTCAGATGTTTGCGCTGGCTCAAAATTATCAAAAATTTTGATCAAATTCTTTCGAACTCTAATCCTGGGCACAGCATTGAAAATGCGAGATGTAATTTTGAGCTTGGCCGTTTGAGTATCAACCTTATTTATACATTTGTCATTGTCCGACAGGCTGATTGCAGAAAATTTTCCATTTTTAGGATTCCAAAGAACCTTTAATGAAAGATAATGGTCAATGATACAACAACACAACAATCAAAACAATGGCGGCGTGCAGAATAATTCAAGTAGATCAACTCACAAATTCTTCGTACAGCAAGATCTTGTTTTCACTGTCGTCAGAAGACGAGGTAGCACGATTCACCGGTACATCACTAAGCCCGTTTTGCATTCTGAGCTATAATTATTATTTGATAAAATTGAGAATCCACGACGCAACACGAGTATCGAAAACGGAACGGACTGTAACTCGGCACGAGCCGTTGTTGTGAGTCTCGTCAGCTTGACTATGCGTGCCGGCCGCCGAGCACTGATAATAAACAGAGTCCGTCGCAGCAGACTATGTTTAGTGTATTCACGTGTGGGACGAATTCTTACACTCGATTGCTACAAGATCGAGAGGGTATGAGGCAACTAATGAAAACAAACAATTGTAACGTACGCAACGATAAGAGTGTATTTCTTTGCGCGTTGAAATTCATGAAAATAGTGCGTTCTCTGTTTAAAAATGTGAATATCGCGTTGATGCATCGAAATCCTTCACGATATCATTGGGAATAGAAAATTGAATTTTGAAAGGAATGAAATAATTTACCAATTGCTGTGGCGAATATTCATCGGGCGTCGACGATGCATCTTTTTCTGCGCGATCACTAATTTAACGGTAATTCGCTAATCATCACTGCCACTTGTTACAACCGACACTCATTTTACACTTCGAGTAATATTAAAGTCGGGTAATGACACGGACAATCGACATTTTTATTTCAAGTGGCTAATCGAAATATCTAAATCGTCGTCAATCGGCGTTCCGATAGGTTATGCACCGAACCGCCACTTTGATTCTCGTTCGTCGCGAAAAGCCGTTGACTCGCTCATCAAAGCTACTCGATTTTATTATTAAAAAATTCACTCAAATTAACACTACACACACACACACACACACACACACTTTAAAACACTATCACAATCGGCCGCGAGTCTAAAAACACTACGAGTTTATTGCACTTCCATGCCGGCCGGCGACGCTTCGTCTCACTGTAACCGCCCCGCGTTTTTCGCGAAGATAAACGGTTGCATTTAATCCGCGATACAGACAGAATGTCGCGGCCCATTATCGCGGATGCCTCTAATAAACACTTTGCCACTCGGCTCGTCCACAACGGCCATTCAGATGTCTGTAACGGTCGGCCGAGCTGTATAGTGGACGCCGAACGAGAGGCAGTAACATTCGAACGCCTCGATAGCTGCGTCTCGTGCGTTAAAATGTTTAAATTTTTGCAACTCGACGTTCGGGTGTGTGTGATCAATCGTTTTTCGTGGAGTTTCGTGTGTGCAACGTGAGTGCAATAACCTATCGAGTTCAATCGAGTGCGTCGTTTTCTTCTACGAATTCGTGCAGTGGAATACCAGTTTCAAAAAAGTAGTTTGGCTGCGGTCGAAAAAATCTCGAAGAATTCGGAAGCTCGAGCAGCCCTCGTAGCAGGTAATGCATATGCACACATTATATACGCAGAGAGATACTACATCTTGCGTAATCAAGCCGCGATAAGACGTTATACAGTATTATAGCAGCTCTGCGGCCAATGTCTGTGTGCAAGTTCGTGTGTGTGCTCCATATAATGATTAATTTAGCGAGGCTCGCGCGCCGCACACACGCCATTGCAGCAGCAGCAGCAGCAGCAGTAGTGGTAGTAGTAGTAGTAGTAGGTAGCTAATGCCTACGGCCTGATAAATTACCGATAAGCGCACGGGCCGGCTAGCGTTAGATTAGCCTCCGAGATAATGCCGCTGCCGCCCCCACACATACACACACGCATGCATGCATATAGAGGCGCCGGTTTAGAGTTGCGCCGCCGCGTCGTTTGTAGGACACGCGATTCGTCCAGCGGCAGCAGCCGTTGAGCCCGTGTTAAAGCATTATCGCTCGGTTCTTCCTGCGTATAAGTTATTTTCTTCGTTTTTTTTTTTTTTTTATACTTTTTGTTTCGTTTCACCTATATCATTACGCCGCTGTGTATAAACTCGGTTGGTTTTTGTGAAATGTTTAGAAAACAAGTGTCGCTTCAAGATTGCGTACCGTAGCGCGCCAAAGGGTTAAATTCTTATGATTTCTATATCATCGTTCGAGGGATTTGGAAATTATTCAAGATATAAACGATTGTCGAATTTTCAATTGTATTTTTTTATTTGCTAAGTATCGATCTTTCTGCAATTTATTATCAGATGATTCAAAAATACGATAGGCTTTTTAAACACAAGCAGTTTCGCAAAGTGATGCTGAGAATTGTATGCTTTTTTCTCGTCTATCAAATTTATGGTGTGCCCCTTTCGATGAGGAAAATCAAGTATTGTAAAATTAGCAGGAATTGAAAGAGTTGAAATTATAATAAGCATACAATTAAATTTAAATAAAAGATTGTATTGCTGTGTTCTATGAATGGTTTTACTCGCATTCATTATTATTTTATGTATTTATACGTAAACTGAAAATATTTAGAGCAATTTTGTACAATAATTTAATTTTTTTGATAAACTTCAACGTTGTTTTAGCATAATCGCAGATAACATAATTTTAGAGGATTTCATGACATAATTAAAAATACAAATTTATAAATTAATCTTATTAGTAAATACATCAGATTGTAAAACGCTAGTTTGAATTTACATTTTCTTCTTTTATAAGGTTTTCATGCGTGATTGGTGCGCCATATCGATATGTTTCTTGAGATTTCTCTTTTGTCCGAATTTTTTGCCGCACGTCTCGCATGCATATGTGATATTATTATGCGCCGATTTTACGTGACTATTGAGATCACCTCGTCGCTTAAATACATTTCCGCATACATCACATGAGTAAGTGATGCCCTTATGTATCGAATCAGTATGAGTTTTCAGAATATCCTTTCGCTTGAATGTCTTACCATTTGCGTCGCATTTGTAAGGCTTTTTACCATTATACACAGAGCCAATATGTCGTTTTAGATCACTACTTTTTGAAAATTTCTTTTCACGTACATCGCAGTTGTGAAGTTTTCGATTATTATGCACCGCATCAATGTGAGCTCTCACAGAGTATTTACGTATAAATGCCTTTCCGCATGCATCGCATGGGTAGGTGGCGTTATTATGCACCGAATCGATATAAATTTTCAAAACATCCTTTCGCGAGAACTTCTTGCCACACACGTCACATTCGTTACTTTTTTGACTATTATGTACCGAATCGATGTGAGTTTTTAAATTTATTTTATAGGAAAACGTCTTTCTGCAAAAATCGCACGGGTAGGTGATGCTATTATGCGTGGAATCAATATGATTTTTCAAAACATCCTTTCGCGAGAACTTCTTGCCACACACGTCACATTCGTAACTTTTTATTCAGTTATGTATCGAATCGATATGATTTTTCAGAACAAACTTTCGCGAAAACTTCTTGCCACACACGTCACATTCGTAACTTTTTGTTCTATTATGTACCGAATTGATGTGAGTTTTCAAATTACATTTTTGGGAAAATGTCTTTCCGCAAAAATCGCACGGGTAGGTGATGCCATTATGCGTGGAATCAATATGATTTTTCAAAACATCCTTTCGCGAGAACTTCTTGCCACACACGTCACATTCGTAACTTTTTGTTCTATTATGCACCGAAACTATGTGGGTTTGAAGATTACTCTTTCGAGAGAACGTCTTTCCGCAGATATCGCATGTCGAAGTTTTACCATTATGTATCGCTTCAATATGTCTCTTGAGAGAACTTTTAAATAAGAATGACTTTTCACATAAGTCACAGCCATGAGTGATTTTATGGTGCACTGAGTCGATGTGATTTTTAAGAATGCTCTTACGTCTGAATGACTTTCCACATTTGTCACAACTATGGGTGACTTTGAGATGTACCGAGTCGATATGGAATTTGAGACCTTTTTGTTGTTTGAATGACTTTCCACATGTATCACAAGAATGGGTGATTTTACCATTATGCACTGAGTTGATGTGGATTTGGAGATTACCCTTGTAAGAGAACGTCTTTCCGCAGATATCGCATGTCCGAGTTTTACCATTATGTATCGCTTCAATATGTTTTTTGAGAGAATCTTTAAGTGAGAATGACTTTTCACATAAGTCACAGGTATGAATAATTTTCTGATGCACCGATTCGATGTGTATTTTAAGAATGCTCTTACGTCTGAATGACTTTCCACATTTGTCACAACTATGGGTAACTTTAAGATGCACCGAGTCGATATGGAATTTGAGACCTTCCCGTTGTCTGAATGCCTTTCCACATATAGCACAGGCATGAGTGATCTTATTATGTTTTGAATCAATGTGGGTTTGAAGATTGCCCTTTTGCGAGAACTTCTTGCCACACACGTCACATTCGTAACTTTTCGTTCTATTATGCACTGAATCGATGTGGGTTTGGAGATTATTCTTTTGAGAGAACGTCTTTCCGCAGATATGGCATGTCGGAGTTTTACCATTATGTATCGCTTCAATATGTTTCTTGAGATAACTTTTATGTGAGAATGACTTTCCACATACTTCACAGACATGAGTGATTTTATGGTGCATCGAGTCGATGTGAACTTTGAGGTTTCTCTTATGTGCGAATGCCTTTCCACATGTGTCACAAGGATATGTGATTTTATTATTCGGCATATCAATATGTTTTTGGAGTTTATGATTATAATCCACATTTTTTACAACTGTTTTTCTTTTCTTTCGCTCGCTGAGTTCACAGTTTGAGTTCATATTAAATTGATTGGCGTCGTCCACAAACGATTCTTTTTTTACTGCATCTAAAGCTTCTAATTTAATTTTGTTTTGAGTTTGATGTTCGTTACTATTTTCAATAGCCGCCAAGTGATCTTCAGAACAATTTTCAATTTTCGTAACAGCTAATAAATCCAAGCTCGGCTTCATGTCTTTACATTCCAACTCGATCGCCAACTCATCAAGTTCACTTTCGTGATTATTGTCAAATTTTTGAAGCACATGAATCTGTATAAAATATAATTTATGCGAAATTGTTCATTGATAAATAATCTATAATGTAGCAATCATTATACTTACTTGATTTTCTTGCTGATGTTTGAGGAATTGAAAATTGTTGACATCAAGTGTATTGTCAATTATATTATAATCATTTTCAATGATTGAGATGTCAGAAGGTTCTTCTTTTACTCTGAAATAATTTTAAAATTGAGTATCTGTTGAGTATTACGCTATGTCATTTTTCTAAGTTCATTCTCATAAAATGAAATTTACCTTACGGCACAGTTGAAGATAGCTCTTGATTCCATCTTTCTTGTTTAGAATTTGATCAACGACTAATATTTTGGTAATAATGTTACACATCAAACAGACTAGGCATTTAATGTTATAGTATTTACAAATAATGATACGAAAGCTCAATCGAAACAATGTAAGCCAAGAAGTAAGCCATTATAAATTATTGCTCTCTTGTCTAACTAACAATAAATATTTACCTGTAAACGATATTTTATATCAAAGAAATGTGAAATGAAAAAAAGTCTCACGATATGTGAAACGTGCTGAGAAAGAGCTTGTAATAAAAAAAAACTGATGACAGGAATCTTTTGAATTTTTAAAACTTACTGGTAAATATTTATGAGAAATTATGATTAATACTTGAAAATGTTCATTTTAATGTGTTGCGGTAAAACCTCCGTTCTAGTATGGGAGATCATTGCATTAATAAGTTAATTCAGTTACTTTACACCCTTACAATCAAAAATCAACCCAATCAATGGTTAAATTGAATTCTACTTTAAACAGTTCACACAGCGTTGCACGTGATTTTCTTTTGGAAAAATTTTCTTTCCCGTTACGTGGGTTGAAAACGCGAGCACACAGAGGGCCACACGATTTTCAATTTTTGATACCGTGCATACGTATAATACCCGCACGTAAACACGCTTTATCTTTTCATTTCTCTGACAACTGTAGTATGGGTTTATCGTTTTATATACATACACTACCACTCTTTATTTCCAGTCGGGCGAAACTTTCCAAGCCGCTGCAATCCGTCGAACAACGGAGTGAGAGAGAGAGACCTGTGTGTGTCTGTGTCTGTGTCTGTGTCTGTGTATATGTACCACCAGTAGGTTCTCTCTCTCTCTCTCTCTCTCAACATCTGTCAGAAGCAAAAGATTTTCACAAGTGGTATGACACAGAACAAAAACAATCGAGCAAAAACGGGCGAGATAACGTCCGCAGCAGGATCCAGCGACGATACGGGATCTCTCGTACAAAACGTTACAGTGTATTATACGTTTTACAAACCGTACATTGGAATTCGTGGACGACGTGGGCCGACGGGGGGAGGGATGAGCTTTTTTTTCTGAAAATTTTCCGCCGTCGTGGGCTAAAAATCGCGATCCCTTCTTGTTTTTTCTTTCAATTTTTCTCCAGCACTCGACGAAATTCACTTGGTTCGACGTGCCCCGTGTGACGAGAGAATGGAATATAGGTGTACACCTATACATAGGCTGCTCTACATAGGCGATGCGGCAAGAGGTAAAGTTTTGCCGATGCAAAGTACTGCACACACATCTATACCTATATCGTATACACACGTAAAGGAAAGTAGTCAGATGGAAGGGTGCAGATACATTTCGCATGATGGCTCGGGCTCTCCTCTCTTCTCCACACTCGGGGGCCTTTTATTCACTGGTCTCTGCGTAATGGATGCTCGAAAGATTACCCCGCGCGCGCTTGGCGTAGTGTGCGGCTCGTTAATTGACAAGCAGCAGCAGAAGCTTCAGCCTCTCTACTCCCCGGCACATTGAATAGCCGAGAGAGTCAGTCGTCGACGACGACGACTTTTCCCTTTCCTTCACTCTCTCTCTCTCTCTCTCTTTCTCTGTGTACGGGCGCATATAAGCACAAGAGAGGACGACGACGACGACGAGCGTTAAAACGTATCACCAGAAGCTATCGGCCCGAGAGCCGCGTTCGTTCACGCTGATTTTCAATGGTATAAGCTCGACTCGACTCGCTCGTCGTCGTCTCTCTGTGTGTTGCCACAATATACACGAGTAAAAACCGGCCGCGTGTGAAGTTTGCTGTTACCGCTCGGACGCGCGCTTTTTCTTTGTCCCCCGCGGCAACAGCAGCAACAGCAGCAGCAGCAGCGAAGACAAGAGGTTGTCATTGGTTTTTCGCTAACTTTTCGAGTGTCAATAGTTTCGCGCGACTTTTATCACTCACACACACACGGCCTTTCATTTCTCTGGACGTACGTGCATGTTTTATGGAGAAAAACTTTTTTTTTTATATAAAATTCATAGGCAAGCCGCCGGTCAACCTTCATTTATATTTAAATGAAAAGTTTATACGGGGATGACGCGGAGAACCGAGGGAAAAAATATGTACACGTACACGTGTCACTAAAAATATCGCAACGAGCGTACAATGGCGGGAGTTTGTAAATATTTTTTAGTTTTTAATATATAAATACAGGGAAACTTTTGAGCGTATTATGCTTCGGGGTGCAGTTGAATTGAATAGAGAAAAAAAATATCGTCGGCGTGAAATTGACGTTATTCGCGTGAAATTCGTCGCGCGCATTAACACGAATCATTAAATGTATAAATGTCGTTTTTGTGGATAACGAATTTCGAGTTGTTATATAACTCGCGATGTCTCGATGAGCCGTGTCATTACGGTCCAAAGACCTCCAGAGAATAATGGCCGCAGCCGCAAGACAGCGCGAGATCTGTCGCGTCTCGCTTCGGACGTGTATACGCATTATTCAATTATACACGATGATCGTTTTTACACACGCCCCCTCGTATAAACAGAAAAAAATGTTAGCGAACGCGAGGAAAAAAGTTCCACAGACGGGGGGGGAGGGAGCATAATGAATGTAATATACTCTTGTGTATACGATCGCTCGAGACAACACGATCATAACTGGAGCGTCAAAACCTCGAGCTTTCGCGATCTCGTATACGTATAGGAATGAAGACGCCAACGAGCGCGAGTATACGAAGAAGCCGCGCCGCGCTGTGTTGATTGGCCGTATATAGCGCTGAGGCTCCTAAGCTGCCACACGGCTTATTTAAACTCTTATCAGCTCGCGACTATCTTCGTGCATTATATCGCTCTTGCTGTATGTGTATAGCGTTAAAGGCGCTACTCTCGTGACTCATCTCGCCATATTTTTTTTTTTTTAATATAATACGCGAGCAGTTCCGAGCGCTCGCATGGCGTATAAAATTAATCAACTGTAATGACAAGCTGTATTTTCTCGAGCTCTCGTGTATGGCGACGCGACCAGCGACGAACGATCCTACGAATACGCGCGAGTACATGCGAGTACGCGAGCGCGAGCAGTGACGATGCGAATAAGGTTTACATCGCGGGGGAATGCGTAAGAAACTTTTTTTGTCTCGTACGTATATCTATTATATGCGCGAAAAATATTTGCGTGCACTCGCGAACGACAAAAAAAAGTTTAAAATTTCGACGGTCGTCAGTTAAGAGATCATCGTCACCAGTGGACTCGCGTGTTTATAGTCGTGAACTATTCGTGGAGCCGCTGCAGATTATACTATTATAGTGCTTCGCTCACGTGTGTTTGTGTGTCATTTTGTATTTTGTACGTACATAGCTGAAAATCCATTAGCCGCGCGATAAGCATCGCCGCATTGAACGATTAACCGATTAATATTCCTCTGTATGTGTGTGTGTGTGCATACGTAAAGCGAATTCAATAGGATTGAAACGCGCGCGCGCGTGCCTCGGAGCTGAGCTTATATTTCGTTGCACTCGCGGATACACTGGCTGTATTATGCAAGGGGGTGCGAAAATGGTTCAATAGAGGAATTTTAGATCGACATTTTCGAGCGAATTGATGTTAACGAGTGAATGAATTGTATTAACGCGGAACAACGAGACTCGGTGCGATCGTAGCGAATATTTCAAGAAATTGGCAATTGTACTTCGTGTTCTACCTAACAATCTCAACTGAAATAGGGAAAAACGATGATCCGCTGATCCAATGTAAACACGTGTTTGTTGAAAGCTCTGTTTGCGCGCTGAGAGTGAAAAATTCCAGCTGGTTCGCATTAATTAATCCATGTTGCGCAAATACATTACCAATTATCGAATTTCTGCAGGAAGAAATTGGTTTGATTTTTTTTTAACACCGCGTTTTTACGAGAGATTTAAATTTAATATAAATAACTTATTTCGATATAGGAATCATTGGTATTGGATAGAAAGTAATTCAATTCGGGTTGCCAAATTGATTTGTATAAAAAATATCCATTTTTATTAATCAATTTAAATGCAACGCCTTTATTATCTGAACTATTTGATAAGAAAAATAACAGAAGGAGCGGATGAATTTTTATGGAATGTGAGACAAATATAATATTGATCAACTCAGACACTAGATGGCTGGCAGCGATATTTACATGTACTTGCAGATGAAATTGAAATAAATTCGTTTAAATCGAGGCCGCTATTCTTGGCCAATATAGGTTCGGTGATTTGTCACATGCAATAGATATGCATTTAGACGGTCCACAGTCAAAATGCTCTTTTAAATCCTTCACGGTGGCAGAATAATCGACCTGTGAATAAACAATAATCGTGAGAAATTCTGAATGAAAAAAAAAAATTATTTTAATTCCTAATTTTGTGAGTTTCCTAATACTTACGTTGCCTGCGTAGATAGATCGATCCTCCGGTCTCTCCGTCGGTGAACCCAAGTTCCTGAGTGAGAGTCGTTGACTCTACGCCGTGTGAGATTGAACGGTTAAATTCGATATCAGCCACCCTAAGTGTATGAGATGCAAATTAAAATTAAAATTATTACACGCCACCAAGAAAATAACAAATATTCTGAAATTAAAGAATGTAATGAAAAACGAGCGCATTCATCTGCAGTGCCTGCCATCTTTTGCCATTTATTGTTTACAGCGAAGTCGTGTTCCGTGTACAAGAAAATGTATATCAATACACGCACGTAGACACTCGCACACGCTACGCTGCGTTTACGTACATGCCTATGTACACGTGTACGTACAACACATCTCGCCGCGCTCAAGCTGTGCGGTGTACTTAAAATATAACAAATCGAGAAACGGTGCATTTGGGCGGTCGAGTGCGTTTACTAGAGCGTTGAAAATTGAAAATTCAAAATGGCCGCGATATTTCCGCTCGAAGGAATAGAAACAAAAAACTCATCGCGTCTCTATATACTACTGCGTTACACTGTAAGCGCTCGGTGCAGTTGCGGTCGCTCGCCGCTCGCTTGCACTCGCACACACACACGCACACACACGTACGTATCCACTGTCTGCATGTTGGGTGCATGTCCCTGTCTTTAATTTCGATCGACTCGTACTTTTACAACATAATGTATAGCGCGCGGAGCGCATCTATCATACGGCC